ATGCTTGAGGCAACTCTATAGATATTATTTTCTCTATCTGTGATGAAATCGAGAATGTCTATAGTCTATACAACAATAACACTCTCAATAACTTATCAATTCTACGGTAAAAAGCTTCTTTCCATAGAGTTAATCTAATATCGATCAATTTGAAAACTAACACACCGTAGATTTGCTTATTTTCTTACAGACATCAAATACGATAATTAAGTGGACAATTGCATCACGCACTGTATTGTACATACATACCGATTTGATAAACTACGACACTTTTAGGAAGTGAAATTAAATATAGCTAGGAACAAAATATAATAATCTGCAGGGAAATTAAAATAAATACAAACAAATACTTTTCGCATTTAATCAAAACTTTTATGAATAGGAAACAAAACAAAAACTAAACAGGTCAAAAGAAATTGATTTTATTCTTACTTTGGACGCTCGTAAAAGTGGTTCTGTTGATTGTTTCGAGTTTTTCCTCACATTGGAACCGTTTGGAAAAGGTCGGAAGCACGTACGTTTCCGCAGTGTAGTGATTTTATGCGAGTGACCTCTGGGGGTCGTGTTCAAGAATAGTTTGAAACCTTAACAATATTTTTCGAAGATATTTGAAACGAAGAAAATGAGGCTTTATGCCTTTATTGTTTATTCTCGGGAGCGTTACAAAAAGAGCTTCATTTCCTTTTTAATATCACACCCCGTGGACTGAAGTGTGATGTTCTCAATGGCCTTTCCATGAAAATCGTATTAACTTTCAGCCTCAAGTGGGCTTTTTGGCGTCCAGCCTAATCTGGCGACTAAATGAAAAATTAAAAATGTAATACCTCATTTCATGGTCGACCTCATCACAAAAATGAGAATATAAACAATGAAAGTATTTAATGGCTGTAAACTTGTTCGCTCCTCCCTAAAGGTAATTTAACTTACTGAAACGTTTGGGAGCGATAACAGTAACTAAATGGACCTTGTGTGGTATACTAATAATTATGACTAGTGGTCACACAGTGGTCGTATTATTTGCTATGAATACATAGCGTACACAATACTGTTATTTGCAATGATCGCTTAACTCGTCGAGTACCGGTTTTGTAGACACAATTATAGAACAATAGGTTGCGGTCACCGGTGACCGCTTGGTGTTTGACAGTTTAATGTGTGCAATATGCATGAGTTTAAACGTTGCGCTATGTTCATTGTCACTTTTATAATTAAGTATTGATAATAAGGTAACAGACGTGTTTATATGAGTGAGTGTGTACTAATTAATAAAGTAATGAATGAATAATATGAACATTCTAGAACCATAAATAAATTATGCAAATGGAAGTAAATTCAGATATTACGGACCATACATTTTATCTGTAACTCGATTTTTTTTTAATAAAAATCTTTGTTAAATGGAGATGAGCATGTTGCTACTCAATGTAGAATCCAGACGAGGTATTTAGGCGACCTGAAAAAGACATCCGACAACTGACAATACTCTAGGTAATGAAGATACAGTCCTATTTAACAAAATTTACTGTTATATACCAAAGTCGTAAACGAACAATGGCATCCACATAATTGAATAAAGTAACAATATTACACGAACACAACACGCATAAAACTAAAATGTTTTCCTTTCACTTGTTAAGTTGTAATTGTCAGTAAACATACTAAACTTCTATTGTTATAAACTAATGTTTTTCAATTAATAAGTTTCGGTATGCAACCAATAAATCAAATTGCTGAAGGTTTGGTCATAGATGCAAAACTTGCAGAATAATATTGTTCAATGTGAGTTATGTTAACCACTCGTAAAGACTGCCTCGTTGGCTGAGTGGTCGCAAGTGCGACTGCTTGACAAGAGGTCTCGGGTTCGATTCCTGGGTTGGGCAAAGTATTACTGGGTTTTTAAAAAAAATTCTCAGTAGTAGCACGGAGTATGGAATTGTGCCCGGTACATGGCAATAGGCTCACTCCCCATTACTTGGGACTCATAACATAGACAGTGAAAAGTGGGTGTTACATTGTACAGTGGCATTAAGTGCCGTAATGTGTACCTCTGCCTACTCCTCCGGGGATGAAAGTCATGATGTTATGTGATAATTGCTTAGAAAAATGTTATTAGTAAGTATTTTAAAGTCATAATAAATACTTTTAGTTATACAAGCTGATTTGGGACTCTTCTGCTGTTGCGACTTGCGAGTGTTCATGGGCGTCGCAGACCGCTACTAGCATATGAACCGCCTACTCGCTTGCCCCGGTGGAACCAGGTAGAAAATACAAAACAGAGTATAAAAGTTTTGTGTTTGTCTTAGGATTAGTACTCAAAAAAAGTGACACAAATCTATCGATCTATCTCTATAAGTTTTTATAAAAATCAAAATGTCCTAAATAAAGCGCTTGACCCGGGGACAAAGCCTGCGTCCGTCATGTGCTCGTGTGGCAGTTCAGAGAACCTCGCAACAAATGAGGTAGTAATTTACATTTACTACAGTATATACTATTCGTTTACAACAATTACCAAGAATGACCACATACTATTACGGGCGGGAACAATTAATTTGTACGCAAATTAACCTCAATTATACATTCTCACTTATGTTTATTTATATTTCTTTCTGCGTTTAAATGGAAATCGAACTAAAAGGCGACGTCCAATAATAATTCCAGTCAAGTTGTATTAATTGTCGTTTGATGGGCTTTATTGCTATACTACAATCATCTCCGTATGTTTATGGCACTTGACCGTTTGTACTCGTAACATGGTTACATTAATTATGACTATCTCATTGATCTATTGTTACTTGGTTTTTGAGTTCAGTCCTGTTCAAAATATTATTGTTTTTCGATGCCTAAGATAGTCGTGGCTCGTCCCGACCCGGAGCTGTGGACAACGTGGGCTTCGGCTTGAAACAGAAGGAATGGAGTGTTTTTTAGTCCGTAAGAGGCAGGTCTCTCTCCCCACTCAAGGCGGGAGAAGTCATTACATGGTTTTCTCTCCTTAAAAAAGGTCGTCTGTAGTTGTCTGAGGAGTTTGAGAAGAAGTAAAAAGTAAACTTACAGGCGTAAGACGTATTATGAAGACGACGTGTGACGACGAAGTCTTCTGCCCGTGGCTACGTCCACATTCCCGTGGGTAAAAAAGTAACATAATTTGTCGCTGTTCCAAATTTCAACCTGATCCCTTCAACCGTTTTGACGTGATTGAGTTTTTGTGTTTGTGTGTAACATACACATACAAACTTTCGCATTTATAATATTATAGTAACTTATTATGAATTTGTGAAAAATCATTGTAGCACATCACATACTGCTGTACTTCGAATTTCATCAGTAATAGCCAGTTTTATATTCATAACGCTAATCTATAGGTAGGGCTTAGGCGAACTCATTACGCAGAGCCCACGCACTGAAATAAAGGCCCATGAATTTTTCCAGAGATGAATTCATTGACGTTCTTCAGAAACGTGAATTTTTACGGTCCGTTGTCCCGCCCAGACGTCTCTGTGAGGACACATGACGAGTGGGCGAGGTAATCGGCGAGGTAAGACGCTTAAACCAAATGAAGCTACAAAGCTGTAATTGATTGTATTACTTAAGTATGTATTTCTTGCCGTAAAATATGGAATTTCAAAGAAGAGCTTGAATATCAATGAAGTTAATTAAAAATATGCAAAGGCGGCACTCTCATTGCAGACATATCTTAAATGTATGCAAAACATGCTTATAATTCCAGACTGGGATAATTCTGAAAATAAAAAAAATATTAAGTACTTATCACTTTCTTGAACTGTGAGACTAACCAGGAAGCAAAAACTAAGTACTTAGTTTTAAGTGTCATAAATGAAGTGAATGATTAGAATTAAACTTATAAAAATTACCTTAAAATTAGGAATAAGAAAATACAACATACATACATCGTAATATCGATACTATAAGAACACCAAACATCAAAGTTACGTACAATTTACCTGCGAATGTATATTACTTTTATAGGTATAGGCAGCTACGTAATTTTTTTGTTACAAACTTTTATTGTTTCACAAATACCAAAGGACGATTGTTTCTTTGTTTGCAATGTTATTACCGTTAATGAAATCGAAATAAAAGCAGTTCTTATTGCAGAGATTCCTTGAACTTTCGACAGTCACGGAATGGGATGCGTATCTCTTCAAATTAGTGTTTAATATACAGTAAATACGTTTCTGTAATGCTTTATTGCACTAGACGGTACTACATGGCTTTGCTGGCTTAGTGCCAAGTTTTGATAGCATGTCGTATTTGAAGCGTATCCATATTACTATGCTAAGTAAGTTTGATTCATATACGTAAGCTTAGTTTAGCAAGCTGGGTATGGGAATATTGTGGGTGTGTAATTTTCCTTCAACAGATTTAGAATATACTAGCAAACCCGGCGAACTCCGCTTCGCCACCAGATTCGTTTTATGTAACATTGTGAAGAAGTGGTGAAGAAAAATTATAAAAAAAACCTGAATTTTCTTTGCTATAAACCTTACGGAGCCCGAGACCTTTCCAACGAATGCAAAACCGTGGAAATCGGTTTGCGCGTTCTGGAGTAATAGCGTCAGGATGGAAAACCCGACGGCTAAAAGTCTCTCATTATCATCATCATCTTTAAATGGAAGACCACTGCTAAAAAACCCATAGTCTGTTCCATTTAGTCAGACTGACGCTGAGAATCACTGACAAAACTCTTTACTACATTAATTAGAATATTGATTTATGAATAAAGGTCAAAGATCAAAGAATTATTAAATACAATATACCTGTACAATTTCAGAACAAAAATTCTATGCCAATGATTACTTTACACTTTCAAAATGCAAGTCCAGAATCCCATGCAAAACTTATTTAGAATTAATGCAGCTGTGCATATTAGACTCAACCAGAGAGAAAATAAAATATGTATGCAAACTTTAATTAAGTTACAAACTGTTTTGAAAACGACTTGGTTATGGTTATTCATCAAATTGTCACAGTTCACTGTCAAGTTTAGGTGTCATGTAATTTAAACAATCGTGTTATTGGTATTAAAGAAATTTTTCTTAGTTATTTACAGTTGTTTTCGTAAAGTATATCATAATGTTAATACCGACGTGCCTAATAAAGCTTTGTGAGTTGGTAAGTTATTTTTGAAACTGCATATTTTCATCTAGAAGTTATATTATTCTGCTTTTATCTTTTCTGCTAAAGCGGTTTGTTAGAAATCTTCTGTGAGTTCAATAGATGGGCTGGAAAGCAGCTTTTACATCCAAATAGGGTTGAACAATACACAAGGGGTTATAATATGACTGAGTAAAAGAAAAATGTCTAAGATGCATTTCAGTTTTATTTTAAACGGCAAAACATACATCTTTTTAAGAATAATTCAATTACACGGGACTTAAAATATTAATTAAAATATATATTTAATTTAATGTAGGTAGGTATACTCCTTTGGCAGCCTCCGCAGTGAGGTGTGATGTTACTACATTTATTTAAGTCTTTTCAAATGCCCTGACATTTTCGACGAACAATATATTCGAAACGAAAACTTCGTGCAAGGGTTGCATAATAATTAGCAACAGAGTGCTAGTATGTATTAGCATATTCAAGGTATCATCAAAGGAAAGCTTTGGCTAGTTGCCTCGGGGAGATTATAAATGCAATGCCTAGGGAATCCATACAACCACTTGCAATTTCATATTCGTCTGACGTTAGATAAGCAACTAAATATGCTTAATCTAACTTTTCTTTCGTGGAATAGGTAGAAGTGTTTCTTTAGTTGCTTGAAGCAGATTCCAACTAACAACAACCACAATGTTGAGTGCAATTGAGCAAGCCTAACAAAAACGGAGCTGTCGATGGATTGTCGACTAAAAAGATCGGGAAATGAGTTTTCTCTAAATCGGCACAATTCCGTGTGCAATGTGCAAGCAAAGTGCTATTGTTAGCAATCTTTTTTAATGCTTATTTTATCTTTTAATTTTATTCCAGATGTTAACAGTAGCATGTCTGACTCTCCACCACTACAGTTACGACCTAACAGACATACCAACACTGATGCTGTGTTCTGGTACATACGTCGGCTATGTAGTCGTGCTCTCTGGGGAGATCGTCGGTAAGAATCCACTCGATGCATAATCCCATACATTGTTCATGTAATCACGAAACACAGACATAGCTTGCATATTTTGTATACATTTCTATTATACTACGTATCACCATAACTTCTTGCTTATTTTCCTCTAAGGAATAGATACACTAGATGCAATTCTTTTTGAGAATTCCGTTGCTTTTTGTATCATTCACAACGATAGGTATTGTTTTCAGATTAATATTTACATTATGTTGAGAACACGTTGTGTGGGCGTAGGTTTAACAAATAGACATAATGTATGCAGTATTTCAATGCATAATGCCGCATTTGTACTGGTTTCAATTACCCTTTTTCTAACGTTAAGATTCCTCGTTCTACACGAGGAGCATAATAAATAAATCGCATTAAAACATTGCAATGTTTGTAGTTTGTTCTATAAAGATACGCTGACATTTCATTTGTGTATCCTGCATTAGCAACGTTCATAAAATGTTGACGAAAAACTTGACTGTAGTTCCGTCAGAGACTTCAAAAGCTTCGGCGGAAGTTCAAAGCTGCATTAATTATATTCACAAACAGTTTGCCGAAGCGATAGAAAGAAGTTTAGTTTGTTTACTCATCTGTCGCTTCGCTTCGTGCCTCAGTTAATGTATCCCAGTCTTAGCAACTTGAACATTCTAGGAGAGATGTTGTTCGCGCCGCTGGATCTCGTCCAAGATATGTACTTTGGCATGCTCGGGGTCGCCTTGTTCTCAGTGAGCGGAGGCCTCGTGTTATCCGCGAGGGTTAGAACCTCCGTCTACCCGAGGACTGGAGACAGTAACGCAGCAATACTGGCAGCTTCCCTGGCCCTTCTAAACGCAGTTTTCATGCTTTTCGATCTAAGCCTGGCATACTTGGATTCTGAGGAGTACGATGAAGAAGCGAGCGTGTAACGAGGTGAATGTCACGGAGTATTTGCTTGTAGACACATCCAGTATAAATGCGGCTTATCACGTAGGTTGGCATGTTTGGACGTAGGCGGTACATTAGCGAATTAGTTGGACGTTATCTATATTTGTCGAGTACGTTTCTGTCATTTCCATCACTGGCTTTTAACGAGATTATAAAGCTATTTTGTATACACATCTCCTTAATTTGCAATGTAAACCAAAAGTAATGCATTAAACTGATATAGGATTTTCGACTCATTTTAAATGTAGGTACATAACATTTTTTGCATGCGTCTTTAGACTGGGTATTCCCAACAGGTGAGGCGGTGTCAGCGGCGGCGGACGCCTACGTGGACGCGTGGTGGTCTTCGAGCGGCAGTGTTCTGTTCGCAGCCTGTGGGGCCTTCACACTGCACTCCTGGAAGGACATCCCCAACCACAACCGCAAGAACTACGCGCAAGCCGCCGCTATATGCTCGCTCGCGAATGCCGCGTTGTTCCTCGTAGATGCGCTGATCGCAATATGTTCGGCGCACAAAGAAGAAGGCAGCACGCGGACCAAATGTCCTAAAAGTGCTACTCCGTGTTAAATTGTTTATAAAGTTATGTTTAAGGATGTAGTTGAATCTTATTAAAGTGACACATTTAAGACGTTGAAGACGCGTTTTGTTCTTATTACCAGAGCTCTCATTTAGGTACATATTTAAAATTGTTCGATTTACAAAGAAACGCACAAAGCCATATTTCCGTTACTTTATTACGAAGAGCACGTGACCGCTTTTTCTGTTGACGCATTTTGTACTGTAAACAAAAGGTGAGTTCAATCTGCTGGCTACCGTATAGGTAGATACGAAAATTGTTTCCATTATAGCTAGTGTCGACTAACACAATTAGTGATGTTTGCAATACATAATTTGATAAAAGACGTGCTGTGTAGTGATGTTTAGATTAGATTGTTGGTATTTTTGTATTTGCCATAGTTTTTCATCATACGCTCCTAGTCCTTGGTGTGGGTAGAAGGGCAGCGTCGTGTGATAAAGAAAGAAGAAAATATGATACAGATGCAACTACATGGAAAATTATCTTTAAAATTGAAGAATGAGATTAAATACAAGTGGAAGTTCTAAATTGAACATCAAAGGATTGTTTATATATTTTAGATAAGAGACATCTACCGGCTACATGTGGAACTATCATAACGAAGCTTTGGTATGTGAGCGATATAGGTAATGGTTTTTTCGCTATTTACTAGATGGTGCTACTGGTCTATTCACTGATTTTTAAAATAATCCACGTACATAAATATTTATTTACCGATACCTTAGTATCGCTTATCTTGATGATGATTATATTTATTAATTCGCGATAAGTTATGGCAACTTTTTCATTGACCACTAGGTATATCAAAACCTTACATCCTTACAAACTTACTAGTACGACGCCAAATACCAAACAGAAACCCCTAGTATAAAATAAATAAATATCGTTAAACTCCCTCTTCGACAAACAAAGAAACCAAATTAACATGCGGATATCTCAATATTCCGTAACAAATTATTTAAATAACACATTTGAGGGTCCAAGTTCTTACTAAGGCTTTAATTAAAAGTGTACTGAGAACAAAAATAGAGATGTTCAGTCAGACTGATGTTAATTGTTGAGCAAACATCTCTGTCTTCTTGTACACATATCAAGCTATGAATATCCAGTATAAACTGACCGTTTAATTGAGGAAAAGATCATACCAATAGAGACCACGATAAGCTGGTTGTTATAACTTGATGTGGAGCTACGTGTAATGTATACCCAGTTGATCAATCTACTCCATCCTGCAATTTTTTTTCATTGGATTCTTGACTGTATATCATCAAGACAATAAAGTTGAATATCTAATAAAGAAATTGCCAGAAAAGAATAGGTTAACGTGCAGGTAACTGTACAAGGGCGCAGTGTTTAGAACTGTTTGGCCTGTTTGTGATATGAAGTACAATACATGGTTTCACGTGCTCATTAGATGAATTAGAATTATTTGGTGGATTTATTAAGCTTTAAGTTCAGTTCAGACAAAATCGTTGCTTGGTTTGAAGTTGTAAATGAGACTGAGCAAGGGGTTTCGAATTTAGGTATATCCCGGGTCAGACTGATTTATCGAGTATTTCTCGGTTATCCGATTTGTTAAGTCTGAAATATGGCTAAAGTATGTACCACTTAATAACCACTTAAAAGCACTTACCAACTAAATGTGTACATTTTTTACTCAATACTCAATTTCTATTCATAAGCACAAGCATAATTTTACAGCGTAAGCCATACCTTGTACCTACCTAGACCATTTATTGGGGGTGCGGTGCCAGAAGACCTCCCCGTGGTGCACCCTGGGTGCGGGCGACAGTCTCCCTAGCGGGGGTGATAGGGTTGGAGTGACTGTCGCCCGCAGCAGACTTCTGGACTGGGCGGGCGAACCCGATAGGGTTCTGGAGGCGGCGGGCTGTGTGCTCATGGCCCGCGCTTCCGTGGGGCGTTTCTCCGCCTGTCTCTCTGATTAGCAGAGAGCGTGGCGGAGAGGCAAGGGCGGTGCTCGTTGTGCACTCACCCTGCCAGCGAGCAGCATCGGGACACAAGCTGTCCCCGATTGCAGCCGTCGATATCGTAATCCGTAAGGAGGTCACGGTCATGTTTTGTGACTCTGAACGGGACGAGGGTCTTGGCTTGGTCGCCCGGACCGCGAGGAAGATAACCTCTATAAAAAATTCCTCCAATACTAAGTTCTGGTGCGCGGCGAGAGTATGCATGGCTGAGGAGTAGTGTCAGTCGCGAGCGCACCCCCAGCTAGGGGACCAGTGGAACCTCTAGTTGGGAAACAAATTAACACTTACCCAGGTACAGGGGGCACTGCCTGGGTGGACCGAATATTTCCCCCATACTCGTGGGAATTTTATGGAGTTGAACACAAAATTAAATAAAACCACACAACCGGAGGAGGAGAGTGCGGGTGAGCCTAGCTCGCCTGCAGTAGTAGGAGAAGGGAGCCCAAGGGGCTCTGGCGCCCGTGGGGAGACGCTGGACACGTCTAGCGTGCCCCACACACGGGCATCAATTCGGATGGGATCGGAATCCGAGTCCGACACATCGCTGGCGGAGCGACTGAGCGCGAGCTCGAAGGGCTCACGCCGTCGCGTGACGGGGACGTTTAAGCGTCCCAGACTGGAGGAGGACACTTTGTCCCCGTCCTCCGGCGCTCAGGAGGCGCCTCCGCCCAAGGTCCCCACGGCGGCGCGGGGTAGGGGCGGCAAGGGCAGCGGTCGCCGAAAACTGGGAACCGCTGCCTGCGCGGAATCAGCCGGGCAACTGGCTGCGGAGGGCAGGGCTCTTTCGAGCACTGCCCGTTCGGAGTCCTCTGCGGCCGAGATGTCCGGCGTGGAGATGTCGGAGGGCGAGCGCGGCTCTGAGAGCGAGAGCTGCTCCGGGGGCCTCGAACAGGCCATTACGGCGGAGCTCTACAAGCTGGCGATGGGGAAATCCCAGCCGGTTAGGCTCCGCCTCCTCAAGGCGGCGGCGGCCACTATTACGGTGGCGGCCTTGGAGCAGCGTGCGGTGCCCACTGCGGGAAACGTGCGCTCTGAGCTGGCCGAGATGCGGCGAGAGCTGGCGCGCTTGGCTGCCTCTAACGCGGCTCTGGAGGCCGAGCTGCGGACGGCCAGGGCCGAGCTCGCCGCTGCTCGCGGCAGTCGCCCTCAGCCCCCGGCGGAGGCCGACGTGGTCGGACTGCTGCGGGCGGAGATGGCTGCCTTCCAGCGACGTTTCGACGTGCTGGAGGGCAGGCTCTTGCGCCCCCCACTTGCGGCGAGTCAGGTCGCCCCCGCAGTCCCGCGGTCGTACGCGGCCGCTGCGGCCAAGCCTTCGACCTCGGGTCAGGCTAGCCGCAGCTCCCAACCGCCGGCAAAGGCGCGACCGGCTGCCCCAGCGAGGGCCTCGGCGCCCCCGCCGGCGCAGACCCCAGCTGCGCCGACGGCGCCAGCGCCCGCAGGGCGCAAAAAGAGGAGAGGCACTCCAGCCCGGCAGGCTGGAGTTGCGGCAGCGGTGGTGGAACCCGCCCCGCGAGCGGAGGACGGCGGCGGGTGGCAAATCGCCGGCGAGGCGAGGAGAGTCGCCAGGGAGGGCCGGAAGCGCCGCAAGAAGGCGCAGCGGCAGCGACGGCAGCAGCAGCGCAGGGAGAAACGCGCTGCTGCCTTGCTCCTCGCCCCTAAGACCGCGGCTGTAGTGATTACGCTGCAGCCCGAGGCGGTCAATAGGGGCGTCACTTATGGCGACGTCCTCGCCAAATTGAAGGGGGCGGTATCTCCTGCGGAGTTCGGGGCGCCAGACGGGTTCGCGGTCAAGGTGACCGCTACCGGAGCCCGTCTTTTGGAGGTCCCCGGCGCGACCAGCGGCCCATCGGCCGACGCCCTGGCCGAGAGGCTTAGGGCGTGCCTCGGTGCGGACGAGGCTCGCGTGTCCAGGCCCACCAAATGCCTGGATGTCAGGATTCTGGGCCTGGACGACTCCGTAACGGAGAGGGAGGTGGTGGCCGCTGTGGCCAGGACGGGAGGGTGCCCTGCTGACCAAATCAAGGCAGGCGCCATCCGCCCGGACAACTCGGGGCTGCGCACTGTTGTGGTCAGCTGCCCCGTCACAGCGGCCAAGAAGCTGAAGGAGGGCAAAAGGCTCTTGGTGGGATGGGTCTCGGCGCAGGTCAAGCTGCTCGAGACCCGGCCTCTGAGGTGCTACCGCTGTCACGTGGGGGAGCACGTGAGCGTCAAATGCACCTCGGAGGTGGACCGCAGCGACTGTTGCTTCCGCTGCGGTCGGCCCGGTCACAAGGCCGGCTCGTGCAACGCCCCGCTGCACTGCAACGCATGTGCGGCGGCTGGCAAGCCGGCCAATCACCGGGTCGGGAGCAAGGGCTGCTCCCCTCCCGCCAAACCCAAGGGCAAAAGTAGGCCCTCCGCCGCCCCCGTCGTCTCCGCCGCCGCCGCCACTGCCACCGCAGTCGCCGCTGCCGCCACTGAGGAGGTCGGAATGGACTGCCAATAATGGCTCCATTCCGCCTCCTCCAGGCGAATATCAACCACTGCGCCGCTGCTCAGGATCTCCTGCTCCAGAGCATGGCGCAGTGGTCAATCAATGTCGCCGTGGTCTCCGAGCCGTACTTTGTCCCGCCCAGGGATCACTGGGTGGCGGACCTGGACGGCTCGGTGACCATCATCTCGTCGGCCGCCGCCGGTACCCCGACTCTTGAGGCTGCTCAAAGAGGCCGGGGTTGTGTCGCAGCACGGTTCGGAGAGCTCGCTGTGGTGGGCGTGTACTTCTCTCCGAACCGAACTCTCGCCGAGTTCCACAACTCCTTGAGGGAGTTG